AAGATGAACACATAATACACAAATTCTTTAATGGCCCCCCACAGAAAAACTGATCTTATGAAGATTAAACCTAGTTTCATCAGGAGCTTTGCTTTAAAACAGTACACTGTGAAGTATGGTCTTATTTACACATAAAAGGCTGAAAATTAACCTTATTAGATACCCAACTCCAATAAAACATGCCTGGAATAATTTGTGTGTAACACATCTAGTTACCTAGTTCATGAAATTTATTTAATACTGTGATGTTACACAGAGTCCTTACATTCAAACTAGACTTTTAATGTCCAACAACTAATCATTTCCAAAAAAAATAAATCACTGCAGTCCAACAAGTGATGAACAGCTCACTCTCAATACTGTATATACTAGTACAGCAGTAGGTGTCCTAAAGCTGCCTGGGTCAGAAGGTGATTAGCACTTGTCTCAATACTATTTCACTGTGGAAACCCTTTATCAACACCTTGGGGTATAAGCAGAATAATCATCAAAAAATATTAAAAGTGTTTTAAATAGGTACAACTCAACACAATCATTCAAGCATACTACTTGAGGGCCTAAATTCTCAACCTGGACACTTACTATAAGCTACTCATACCACTACTCACTGCTTCACCAGAATGGCTGTATATTTTTCCCACCAAAAGTAGGGCTATTGCACCATACGTTTCATGATCTCTGTAAAGAAAAAAAATCATTGTCTTTGTTTATATTTCCTTAAAAAAACAAGTAAATCTACAACTTGTCTTAAGAACTTAGTGAAATCTGAAGATTTCTAAAGAAATCACCTCAATTCTTTTTAATGCAACCCGCATACACACACAGAAAAGGCAGTATTTGTAAAAGATCAATTCTGAAATACAACCAGCTACAACCTTTAATAAGCATGTACCACAAAATTAAAATGCACAAGGGTTTTTAAGCATAAGCATTTACTTCATGATCCCTTAATTCGTATCACGTACCAAAAAAATGGAATCAGAAAGGTTTCTCAGGATTTCAAAGCAGCTTTATAACTTTAAAGATGTGGAGAACAGTAACAAACAGTTTAAATGATCCCTCTTGTAGGAAGCAACCACAGGTCCCATTAAATATGTCCCTTCAAGAATAGACTGAGAAGACTGAGAAACTACCATTTCAGAGGACTGGGCTGAAGGCTGGTTAAATTCTTCTAGGTTTGGAATTACTAAAGTTGGAGGTGTGTTTAAGGGATAGGCCTAGAAGTTTGCAGGCAGGCAAGAGATATCGTACCATTTCTACTGACCCAAAACAAGGCCCTTAGGGGACTACAGCTGTCCCTTCTGTTTGCTCTTGAGGGAAAAGGCCTATTTTAAAAACGTTATGGAAATGCATCCAAGGGGATGCAATCGGAAAAAAATCCAGAATGTGGAAAATTCTACCAAAAAAAGTCTATGGAGGGCTTCCCTGGTGGTGCAGTGGTTGATAGTCCACCTGCCGATGGAGGGGACACGGGTTCGTGCCCCGGTCCGGGAGGATCCCACATGCCGTGGAGCGGCTGGGCCTGTAAGCCATGGCTGCTGAGCCTGTGCATCAGGAGCACCGCAATGGGAGAGGCCACAGCAGTGAGAGGCCCGCATACCGCAAAAAAAAAAAAAGTCTATGGATTAACAAATCAACTGCAAGGAAATAAAAGTAATGGCAGGAGAACTACAGATGAAAAACTCAGGAAACTTCTCAAACAACTGCAATGTATAAACTTTACTTGATTTCTAATTTGAACAAAACTTAGATGTTGATTTTGAGACACTGCACATGATGATGTAAAGGAATTGTTGCTATTAATTTCAGTGTGACAACAGTAGTACAACTGAATTTTTAAAGTTCTTATAGTTTTACAGATCTCTACTGAAATACTTATGGTAAAATTATATGTTTAGGATTTGCTTCAAAATAATCCATTGGAGGTGGGCATACGATGAAACACATTTGGCTAACAGCTGATAAATGTCGAAGCAAGGGACATTCATTTACCATAATATATAATACATGGATGTTAATTTACCATAATAAGAAAATTAAACAAATATTATGGTACAACCACTGATTATTCTGTCTAAAATAAGATAGTTTAGCAACCTGAAGGAATGCTTATTATATAATGCTAAATGAAGAAACAAATGTACCTATGTCAAAATTTCAAAAGCATAAGGTTAAGGAACAAAAGAGAATAGGAAGACCAAACTGAATTTGTGAGTTAGTTGATTATCTACTTTATCTACTAGTATTAGACTACTCTCATTAGACATTGCTAATGAATTCAGTAGGCAGGTAATTTAAACCACCTAAGAGAGCTGCGTATAAAACAATAGTGGAGAGGCCTAGAATAAACTAGAGAATGCAATGCATACCTCAACTTAAAAGCATTCAAATAAATACTCCACTACATAAAATCCGTTTTTAAACAGATATTCAAATATCCTCATTTTTAAGGTGACCAAGTCATTTATTTGCCAAAGCAAGCTACTTTGAATGAAGAAAGGAGGTAAGAATCAAACCAGGATGGTACAGGAAAACCAGACCACCTGGTCACCCTATTCACTTTATCTATATAAACTGAGGCATTAAGTTTGTTTGCTTATTTGTGCTTAAAGTGAACTGCCTAAACTCAAAATGAATTAGCCTCATACACACTAGAGACTGAAGCCCAGCGAGGCACAGAGATTTGCTCAAAGTCATGGTGTTAATTGAAGAGGCAGGTGCTACAAGTCAGCACCCAGTACCCTGACACTGTCCAGATCAATCTACTATTTAGTACCATTTTCTTCTCTTTAGGTTTTGGTTTTCTTAAAATTACATGTGTCCTGCTCCTTTTTTCCACAAAAAGAGTCTCTTCAAAATGTGTTCATCAAATAATTCTAAAAATAAGGCAAAAAAATAATACAATAACAGGAAGGTGAAGAATGTCCAACAAATGCTTACAAAAGCAAACTCCTGATTAATCCACATGTATATGAAATCCTGTACTCTAAGATCCAACACTTTTTCTACATGCTGGACAACGCTAAGACATTTCTGTACCGTGCATGATGTCAGAATAAAAAAATTAATAAAAGCAGTAACTGGACCCTTGGAAGACCGGAGAAAAGCACACATACATTGATGCACCTAGTAGCCTCCCAAATGTTAATTCTTTCCTGATTATCTCACTGAAGAGGCAGGAACCAAGACCTCAGAGCCTACTACATTCCCAATAGACAGCTAAGGAAATGGGGAGTCTCCAGAGCAGCTTCTATGGCTATGAGCTGACTAAAGAATCTCTTTGGCTCCAACACCCATACACAACCTCTGTATTATCCCATATAGCTATTAACATCAAGATAAGCACTATATTTCAGAAATATGCAATTCTTTACTTACTGCTTAACAGGAAATCTGCCAGCCCAACTACCTTCCTAATATGAAATTAGAAAAAGCATAGACTTTAAAATCAGATCCAACTTACATCTGAGCCCTTACTTTGCCATTTACAAGCTAGCCAAACTGAAGGAACTTCAATTTCCTCCTATATAAATGAAAAATACCACCAGAGTTATGGAGGTTAAAGCATGCGGTACAAAGCCTGGTACTTAACAGGCACTCAGTAGGAAGCTCTTGCTTTAATTTTTATTTTATATTGGAGTATAGTTGATATACAATATTGTGTTAGTTTCAGGTGTACAGCAAAGCGATTTAGTTATACATATACATATATCTATTCTTTTTCATATTCTTTTCCCATATAAGAGGAAGCCCTCGTTATTTCTACCTAATGGTTTCATTCAATGGCCAATTCAAATAGGATACAAACTATTATTTTATTTTTTATTTATTTATTTTTTGGCTGTGCCGCCTTGCGGGGTCTTAGTTCCCCAACCAGGGATGGAACCTGGGTCCGGGCAGAGAGTACAGAGTGCTAACCACTGGACCGCCAGGGAATTCCTGATACAAACTATTTTTAAAGCAACTGATGACTACAGTCACGGTCTTGGTAAAGTCTGTAAAGAGTTATCTCCTGGATCATCGGTTAACCCCAAAACTGTGCATGAAAGTATGCAATCAACGTAAGCACAGATTACAAAATATATTGGCAGATCTATTTTTCCAAATTATATTAAATTATGAAAAAAAAGATACTCAACTAGTCAATCACTGGTCCAATAATAATTCCTTGAAGTGCTAAATTTTAAAACCACTGCTTTATTTCCTCACCACTTCCACAATGTGTGTGACTCCCATATAAACTTCTAGAAGGCACAGACTGTGTCTCATACATATAATATTCAGAATAGCTAGGAGGGTGCCTTATACAGATGTGCTCAATAAATATTTGTTGAATGAAAAGTTGATATGGTTCCCTTAATGGCGTTTTAAAAAATACTTTAATGACAGGATCCTTTCACTTCAAAACATTAAATTGCAAAAGGTTCATAATAAGAACAGCACCCCCAACAAAAGAAGCTGCTGTTTATAAGCACTGTAGGTAAAACAGACCAAAACTCAAAAAACGAATGGCTTTCCCTATGAAAGAAAATTTTAAAAAACAAGACAATGAGCACCTCAAAAGAGGACAGCACTGTCCATTCCATTTCCAGAAACAACTTACCTTTTTGCACCTCCCTTTTGCAGATTTGAAATCCAGATTCTCACACAATCACTGGCCTTCGCTTCTGTTTGATTCAATAGCATACACACTACTGAACATACATTCTCTCTCTTGCTATTATTAAATACATCAGTACTGGTCTTATTCTGCTTTATAATTCCGAAAAAAAAAGTGCAAAAGTCCTAACCCAAAATTCTTTAAAGAAAAAAAAACTAATTAAAAAAATTTTTTTGAGATTTAACAATGTTTGAAGTAACTGTAAAGGCTCCCATCTTTTCCCATACTTCAATTATGTATTTTAAATGGCTTTCTTCCCCAAATGAGAAGATTCTTGTGTCTTGATGGGAGGGCAAGCAGTTACAAGTAAAACGTACTAAAATAAGCCATTTCTCAACAGGTGAGATACCATCAGAGTGTGTGCTGTTGCAGGAAACAGAATGGAGAGCCGTGAATGGGAGTCTCTGCACTTCATATCTGCAAAAGAAGAGAATAAAAAGGTTAACTCTAGACTTAGAACAGAGTATCTTCATCTGTTTAAAGCAATGCCCATAAACAATTTAAATTTAAAAATGAAAATGTGCTAAAACAAGAGGTTTGTGGGTGAACTCAACCATTTAAACTGTATCTACAGTTTTAGAAGTCAGTATCTTGACACTTTTATACCACACCATCTTGATATTAAAGGTTTAATAAAAAATCCCATCTCTTCTTTAGACTTTTCTTAAAGTTATCATTAGCCAATTAGCCAAATGTGCTAGGGGGAATTAGTTCTAACCGTAAGAATAACAGTCGAAGAGCTCATTTTTAATAAACGTTCTTCCCTTTATAAGGAGCGGCAGTTAACCTTTTGGGAACCCCAATGCTCACACCCCTTTCTCCGACCTCATTAAAGTTAAAGGTTAATTTGAGAACAGCGCAATCTCCCGTACCCAGCACCGCGTTCTCTGCGAAAATCCTTCTGCGTTTTGCACTGACCCACCCGCCGCAGTGTGGGTGAGCCAGGGCCAGGTCACGGAAGGAGGCCGAGGTTGCCGGGGGGTGGGGGTGAGACCCGCGAGCCCGTCAAGCACCCGCGGCCCCCACCCACCCGGCGGCACACCTGCCTCGCAGGCGCCCACCTGGGGCAGGGACCGCCCTCTGACAGCCCCGCGCGCCTGCCCCACTCGGAACGCGCGCCACGCGCCACGCGGGACCCGAGGGCGGCGCAGGCAGCTGGGCGCCGGAGAGGCGGGAGCCCGGCGTGAAGGGGCCGCCCGGGCTCGCTCCCTCCCCGGGGACCGAGCAGACCGGGGCGTGCTGGGGGCGGGAGCGGTACCTTTTGGACAGATCCATGAGGACCCCGGAGAAAAGCTTCTCCCCGAGGCGGAACGACACGACGAGCGCGTCCTCAATGATGTGGTCCAGCGTGACCCGCACCTCCGAGCCGGGGATCAGTTGCGACACCGCGGAGTCCCCACCCGCCGGCGGCACGAGCGCCGGGGCTGAGGGCTGGGGCAGCGGCGGTTCCTGGCGCTCCTCGGGAGCCGCGGGCTCCTCGGGCGGCGATGCAGGGGAAGGTGAAAGGCCAGGCCCTTCCTGTGGCGCGGCTGCCGCCGGCTCCACCACCCGGGCGGGTAGCTTCTCCTCAGGCTGCAGCTCCGGCCCCGCCGCCTCCGGGCTGCGGGCTAGCTCCCCCGGCGGCGGTGGCGGCGGCGGCGGCGGCGGGAACGGCGGCTCGTCGGCCTGAGGAGAGGACTGCTGCCCGTCAGCCTCGCCGTCCGGCACAGACGCTTCAGTGGCCGTGACCGGGAGGGGGTCAGTGCCGGCCTCGCTGCCGGGAATGGGCTCCATCTCCGGCTCTGCCTCGCCGGCGCCCCCCTCCCCGGGGGACGCTGCAGTCGCTGCCGCCTCTGCAGCTACGGCCGCCATTTTCTTCCTGGCTTCTCCCTCCTCCAACTCAGTCAGTCTACAGCGGCGGCGGCGGCGGCAGCGCTGCTTGGTTCCCTGGGCCTTCCCCTCCCTCCAGCGAACAGTTTTGTCCCGCCCTTACCCCGATGCTTGTTATTGGCACCGCGCCATTGGTTCTGTCCTACAGCCCTCCCGCACTTGCAATATTCCATTGGCCAGGTGGGGACGTCTATCATCCAGTCAGTCCATCCCTCCCATACAGAGTAGGAACTTCTCATTGGCCGGACTAGTTGTCAAATGTCGAATCTTAGAGGAGGAGTGTGGGGCGGGCTCAAAGGGGGCGGGGGGAAGTCAAAAAGCTGAGCCTTATACTTATTGCCTCTTTCTATTGGATGGAAGAGAAAATGTAGTCTTATGGTTGGCCTATGCTCCTGCCCATTATCAGCCAGGGTTTCAGAGGTGGGATAAAGGAGGGAATCACGTGGCGTGCCTGTTCTTTCAAAGGCTACGGAGGGGAGGAGTAACGAGGTAATGAGGGAGGGGAACCGCTTCCCAAGAATCTCTGCGCAGAGGTCCTTAGAATAAATGTTATTTCTGGGCGCGGACCTGCTTGTAGCCGCGTGTGGGCACGACAGGCTTCTTTGGGAAGGACAACTAAAGTTTGAAGATAATTCTACGAACAGTTTTTGAGCTCCTCCTATGCTAGGCACTGTGCTAGGTGCTGGGGATAGAATGATGTGCAAGACGTTCCCCATAACCTCATGGCAGCCACTTCAGCTCCCACACAAGGGGTGTTTCCTTCAGTTCTCTCCACTTTCTAGGAACAATGTGCCTACTTATTTCGAAGTAGGAAAATGCTAATGAAAACAGGAAGGATACCATGCACACTGGATTAAGCTGATGAATGTTCCAGAGAGCAGTACAGAGGCACTGCTGAACTTCCACGTGAACACCAATTTTCAACCCAAATTCACTGGAAAGTGGTCGCACCTGGTTACTTGCTTCAGCCTTTATCTTTCCTTGCCGCTCGTATGCCACAGGTGCAAAAAGCCTCTGCAGCGTCCTAATGCCTCTACTTCTCTATTCCCACTTTAAGTTTCTTGATTTGTTTTGTCTGGGAGAATCTGCTGAACCTGTTTCTTTCAAAAGACTCAGAGTGAGCCTTTTCTCCAGAAGAGATTGTAAGCACTGAGAATGCGTGCAGGAGCGAGGAGAGAAAAGTTGCCAACATGAGGGGGAGTAAAAAATGAAATTCTAAAGACTAATTACAGCCAACATTTATTGGGCACCCCCTATGTGCCAAGCACTAGTACAAACATTTAGTATAACACCTCATTTAATCCTTACAATACTACTATAAGGCAGGTACTATTATACCCATCTTATAAATAAAGAAATTGAGGCACATAAAGGGTGCTGAAGGCCACTCAGCTAGTAAGTTGCATAGTCAGAATTCCAGTTTTGTTTTTGTTTTTTTTGGGGGGGGAGATAAATTAGGAGATTGGGATTAACAGATACACACTAGTATATATAAAATAGATAAACAGCAAGGACCTATTGTATAGCACAGGGAACTATACTCAATATCTTGTAATAACCTATAATGGAAAAGAATCTGAAAAAGAATATATATATATATATCTGAATCACTTTGCTATACACCTATAACTAACACATTATAAATCAACTATACTTCAATTAAAAAACTAAAATAGCAAAAAGAAAAGAAATTCCAGTTTTACATTGAAAGGACTGAAAATGGGAAAAAGTAACTATTACCATATGCTCTATTTCAAGCCCTGGGGCTCTTGGGAAAGGCACGTAGGAAATCCCAGTCAGGGCAGGATCAGCATCTGCAAAGTAACAGAAGGAAATAAATTTACTGAGTGTCCACTCTGTACCAGAGATTTTCCCATAAGCTCTCATTTAAAATCCTGTGAGTTAAGTCTTCTCCCTCTTTTACAAGTGAGGAAACTGATCCTTAGCCAGGTTAAAGGTCTTCTTGTCAGTCACACAGATAGCTAGCAGCAGATCCTATAGAACCCAGGTCTTTCCAAGTACATGATTGTTTCATTCACTGAACAAATAATTTATCCCCTGCAGGCTAGATGCCTGCAGAAAACAGCCATGGATCCCACCTTACAGAGGTTTTGCCATGATCAATTTTCTATATTTCAACATAATTAATTAAACATAACACATAGTCCTATGAAACGTGTAGACCCACACTGAGTTCCCACATTGTATAGTATCCCACATGGAGAAAAATACAGTTCAGGTACTACGACCTGATTACCTCTTGCAGTAATTCATTGCAAGACGCTGCAGTAAATCATTTAAATTAAGGATTTATAGCAGATGGTGGCATATCAAGTCACCCTTCTAAATCACCATTTTCAGCCTGCAACTCAAGATCCTCTACTGGCTCCCTATGTTCACATCAAGTGTATCCTCTCCTGCTTGTCATTCAAGGCCCTCTGTGTTCCTACTTTATCTTTCAAGGTCTGTTCTCTACTATTCTTCAAGCTTTCTAATACTGGGAAGATCTTTCATCGATTTATTCCACAGATAAATATTCAAGGCCTACTATATGTCAGTTACTGGGCTAGGCAGTTAGAAGCCATGCAGAAAGAACATGAAAGCCTCCTTGGAGTTATTTTTCTAGTTAGGGAGCTAGAAAATAAGCAGTGAATAAATAACATGATTCACAGATTATGAGCAATGCCATAAAAGAAATCAACAGGGTGAGGTGATAGGGAATAGCTGGGGGAGGGGCAGAGAGTGTCTCATTCAGATAAGGTGGTCAGAAAAGACCTCTCTGAAGACAAGATATTTTAACTAAAATGCAAAGGATAAGAAGGAGCCAGCTGGGCTTCCCTGGTGGCACAGTGGTTGAGAATCTGCCTGCCAATGCAGGGGACACGGGTTCGGGCCCTGGTCCGGGAGGATCCCACATGCCGCGGAGCAACTGGGCCTGTAAGCCACAACTACTGAGCCTGCGCGTCTGGAGCCTGTGCTCCGCAACAGGAGAGGCTGCAATAGTGAGAGGCCCATGCACCGCGATGAAGAGTGGCCCCCGCTTGCCACAACTGGAGAAAGCCCTCACACAGAAACGAAGACCCAACACAGCCATAAATAAATAAATAAATAATTTAAAAAAAAAAAAAAAAGAAGGAGCCAGCTATTGACATTGTTGAATGAACACTTGGGTTAAAAGGAGCAGCAATTGCTAAAGTCCTGTGGCAAAAGAGGGCTTGGCTTACTCCAGAAACAGGAAGAGACCAATGTGGTTGAGGAGGCATAAGCAAGAAGATAAGTAGCTGAGATAAGGTTGGAAAGGAAGACAGGAGTCAAATCATATTTTATGTACTGCAAATACAAAAATGAGATTCTGCCCTCGGAGGGTTCCATATATACTGGGACCCCAGCTTTTACATGTGCTGTTGTATCCTAGTCTCCCCTGCCTTCTGTCTCCTCCTGGCATAGGATCAGCATAGAAGAGGCCCTTGGTATTTGTGGAATGGATAGCCACATGATATTTGGTGCTGAATGGATAGAGGTTTTCATGAATGATTGGAAGGTTGGATGATGTCTTAGTCCATTCATACTGCTAGAACAAAATGCCACAGACTGAGTGGCTTATAAACAACAGAAATTTATTTCTTACAGCTCTGGAGCCTGAAAATACAAGATCAGGGTGCCAGCACAGTCAGGTGAGGGCCCTCTTCCAGGCTGCAGAATTCTTATTGTATGTTCATTGGCAGAAGGAGGCAAGGGCGCTCTCTTGGACCTCTTTTTTTTTTTTTTTTT